ATTGTTAATTTCACGCAATTTATAGATTATATATGAGTTTATTGTGTAGGAAGTGATGCAAACGGTGGCAGTTATGGCCAAAAAGTCTCGGACAGCTATGTATGAAATGAATGCCCAAAATATTACTATACTTATTGTCAAAAAATTTACACCATCGTCGAAATAGGAGGTAAATATTGTTGGTATTATAACAAACAGTGAGCATAGAATTGATATTATGTTAGACATATTTTTTGTCAAAAATAATGTTAGAAAATTGACACCATATGCGAGTTTACGATAATTATCAGCGTTTATTGGGATGTGATTTCTTTTGTATTTAATATCATTTATAAATTCAATGATAAACAACTTTTCGTTGATTTCAAAGTATGTAAATAATGACAATACGGAGAGTGACATAATTGCACCAATAATTAACATTATGGATAATATTTGTGAATTTCCCACTAGATTATTGTCGACACCTGCGAGCAATTGTTTAGTTAGTATATTATTTTGATTAAATATTGCCAATAGTGTACACCGTATAATAAATAATATGGTTATTAATCTCCTAATTATAATCACATGTATTCTGTTTCTTGATTTGAAATCACGATTAGAGTAGTCGTCAAAAGTGTTGGCAATAAATATATGATTTTGTGAACAGAATTTGTCGATTCTGTTAAACGCCGGAAACGGATCACCGCTTATATTCTTGATGTGTTTTATATGTGATGTAGTCTTCACTCGAAGAATATTCATTGAATCCATATTTTTGAATAATTAATTTTAAAATAATTGAGAATATTATACTAATGTTTATGCAAATATAAATTATTTTATAAAGTTGTTTGCTGTTGTACAAAATTATTGATAATAAAACAGACTTTTGTAATGAATATTTTAATTTAGGATATTTTCAGTTATTCTTTAGTTAAATAAATGTTTGAAGTACAATTGATCATAGTAAATCAATAATGAAACTAATATTGTTTAATAATACATGATATGCAATATCATTATTGAATTCATATAATAAAGATTTTATTTTTGAAAAAGTGAATGTTTGTGCAAAATATGCATGATTTTTTCAGATTATATAATTACAAAATCAATATATATGATGCAAACGATGGCAGTCATGGCCAAAAAGTCCCGGACACATATGAAATGAATAAATATTTATATTAGCTTATGAATAAATAAATAGTTATATAATTAGTTAAAAATAAGTTTAAGTTATCACAAAATCAAAATTATTAGCCGAGGGTTAAAGTCAAAGTGAAAAAAGTGCCGACTAAATTTAAACTAATATAACTTATATATAAATATATAGTACATGTATATAAATAAAAAGAGGGATAAATTAAGACTATTGTCATATTAAAAATAATTAATACATTTTTTAACGATAATTTTTAAATAATGATGGAACATAATAATTATAAAATATAAAACAAATTTACATACAGCATTAGCTACATAAAATTGTCTATAAATATTTTAATTAAGTACCTACATAGATAAATTATGCTCTTATTTAATTCAACCACATTATACAAAGATATGAGCAAAACAATATATTTAGTATTCTTGATTACTTGGTAAAGGCATAAATATTGAGCATAATCAGAAATACAGAAGAACAATACTGTTATTTTAGTAACAATTGCACTAAATAATCCTTCAAACGATTAAATAATATTATAAATCCAACATGTTAATTTTTATTAATTAGATTACACGCACTAAAACAATCTTTATAACATTTAAGGTACATAAGTCACTATTTCAATCATAATCTAATGATTAGATTTTAAGCCATTCTATAATTCTGACAATTATTATAAAAAGTACAAAAAAGAGATTAATTCTGAAAACCAAATTTTGAGTGTAAACCGCACTAAACTATGCGAGTATTGTATCACAAAATAAGTTTTTTGAAATAATAATAGTTTTTATTATAAAAGTCACGGAAAATATATTGATTTATTATTTGTGATTAAAATGAGTGTAACTTATTGTTCAGTGGTTTGTCTTTTACTATGTTTTGTTGGTTTAAGTTTTGCCGACTATTTGTCATTAGACGGGAATGAATGGATTGCCACCAGTTTTAATAAATGTAATTTTAATTAATTAATGCTTTGATGTATAGAATAAACAAGTTTATTTAAGTATAAATTTAATTAAACAGCAATCAAAGTTGGGGCAAAAGTACCGGGAAGTATATACTCGGACCTCAGGAGAGCACAGGTTCTCAAACAGGACTTATTGTATGAGAAAAATGATGTCAAGTATCGATGGGTTGCTTACGATAACTGGACATATGAGCGCACATTCGCTGGTTTGTAATTTTTCAATTAAAATTTTATAGATTTATTAATTAGTTATAAAAGTAACAGTGGATTCAAAACTTTTGGACAAGAAAAATGTCAATTTATTGGCCAATGGTATCGACACAGTTAGCAGTGTTTATGTTAACGACCAATTGATCGGCAAAACAGACAATCAATACATTAGATATGTCTGGGATGTGAAGAAAGTGTTAAAATCGGGACAAAACTTAATACGACTGGCCTTTCAATCGGCGCCTCTTTATGCCAAACAACAATCGGAGGATTTTCTACAAAAATATAATTATAAAGTCATTCCGGGTATGAATTATAACTTATAATGTTTTTATAATCAAAATGTAATTATTATAACAACGAGTTAATTTGTTTAAGATTGTCCCGGACCTCAACAGTTTGGAGAGTGCCATGCTCCTTTTATTCGTAAAATGCCCGCTTCATTCAGTTGGGATTGGGTTTGTGTTTATATTTTATAAATTAGTTTTAATGTTAATAATATTTATGTTGAACCATATTTAGGGCCCGGCGTTCCCAACACAGGGTATTTGGAAACCCATAGGAATCGAGGCCTTCGATAGTTTGGAGATCAGAGATATCACTATTGAAACAATTCCCGACCCGAAGAATGCCAGTCAATGGACACTAACTGTCAACACATTCGTAGAGTCGGCACCGAATCAACAAATTGATGGCATTTTTGACATTAAATTAGATAATAATGTTTTGATTAATAAACAAAAACAAACGGTTAAAACCGATGGTCAGGGAAAGGCTAAAGTGGTGTTTGTTATCCCAATCCGTGACATCCAAATCATCACTTGGTATCCAAACGGTGTTTCAGACAATACACAGAAGTTATATCAACTCAATGTCCAAATAGATGTCAATAAAGAAGTTTCGACACAAACCAAGAAAATTGGTTTCCGAACCATAAAACTGATCCAAAATCCCGTGAAACCCGAAGGCCTCACCTTTTTCTTTGAAGTAAATTCCCAGCCTTTCTATGCGAAGGGATCGAATTGGGTCCCAACCAATGTCCTGATGGAAGACATTACTCCCGAGTATTTAAGACATTTGTTAGGATCAGCTAAACGTGCGAACATGAATATGATGAGAGTGTGGGGCGGAGGGGTGTATGAGTCGGACTTGTTCTACGAGTTGGCCGACGAGTACGGGATTATGATTTGGCAGGACTTCATGTTTGCCTGTTCTCTATATCCGGCGCACAACGAGTTCTTGGATTCAGTTAAAAATGAAGTGATCACTCAAGTCAGGCGTATTCAACACCACCCATCACTCGCCATTTGGACAGGTATTTAAGATAATAACAACATTGATATAAAATTAATTGCAAATAACTGCATTAAGGTAACAATGAGAACGAGATTGCCCTAGCCTGGTGGTG